TCATTAACCTTGAAGTGAAGTGAACCATTTTATAAATCTCAGTAATGAAATAGTACCAGTAACGAACAACCGATATTTATTTACATTAGTAAGTGTTGTTGAATAATTCTCCCGACTAAAGGCTAGTCTCATTTAAATATTTCAACTTCACATTGGTTTACCACCATGGCCCATTGCCATTTATATAAATTCACATTGAACCATTAGCTATGAGAATGCGATAAATGGAGCTAAACAGTGTACTGCACACTGGTAGTGGCTTGGAATAAAAAAAAAATTGTTGCAAATTGTGGTCCCACTTGGTCAATAAGGCGTGTAATTGTTATCAGAACTTTAAGAGTATGCTTCACTACGCTTTCGCCAAAGCACTTCAATTAATTAGTATGCTATCTAGATCAGCTTCTTCTGTCGATATTCCTGGCAGAAGTTATAATAAAAATTGTTTTTAATAGACATGTTGCCGGACATGTTGCCGAACAGCAATTGGAAGCGCCTTCTGTACGAAATCTACGCTCGCTTTGCAATTCTACTCGGAGTTACGGCCTACCGATATGACTTTGTCAAGGATCGATATATAACAACACGGTTTATGAAGTTGTTGGCTATTTTTGCCAATATTTGTAGTTTGTTGATCATTCCGTTCAATACTTATCTGGAATGGATCTCAAATAAGAAATTAGACAATATTACCGTGCTCACCTTACGGATTAACTCCTCCATTACTGTATGCTGTTCCGTACTGCCCGTCCTGCTTCGTTTTCCGCGAGACCGTATCAACTATGTCATTGCCAGGAGACTTGAGCGAATACGGCGTGTCTATCGTGTGCGTTTGGAACCAGCTAATGCTGGCAGGATTGACAGACTATTGGACCATATATATCTCGTGAAAAATACCACTCTCTGGCTTCTAGTTCTATCCGTCAATGTTCTGATGATGAACTCTGGTCACGACATGGAACTGAACCAACCGTGGTTGGGGAAACTCCTCGTGCTTATCTATGCATGTGAATGCAGTAGTGTGGACCTCACAAATCATATGCACTTTCTGTTCTCTTTGCGCATCTGTCGCATATACCTGTATATGAATCTTCGGCTGAGACAGATAATCCATTCAAAAGATGGAATGGCTTTGGAGCTCCACCAGATGCGTTGGCTACACTGGCAACTAGCTGACATAATACGGCAACTGAGTCGCCACTATGGCATCATCATTATTGCATCGCGTCTGGGCTTATTATTTTTTGCTTCAACTTTGGGCTATAATTTAATTATTTTCAGCTCATTCAACGCACCATTGCGATTTCAAGTTTTTGGCTGCGCTTTGTACGTGCTCATTGCTCTTGATACTTATTTACACGATTTGCTCTACGACATGATAATGCAAAGCTATAGGGAAACTACAATTATGCTCAGAGATCACTCAGAGACCATACAGCATCGGCCGCATGAAGACAAGGAGGTATGTCTTTAAGCTATTGGCTAATTCTCTAATTATAATATTTATTTGTACCTCAGTGCGAAATGTTCGCGTTACAGATTGCGAGCATAGGACTCCGCATAGATCCTTGTGGTCTCTTCGTAACTGGTCGAGCCACATGGCTCGGTCACATTGTTTGCATCTTAAGCTGGATGGTTGTACTACTACAGAGTCATTTGGCACAGCAAAAAATTACGGCCAACATTGGTCCATCTGTCCAATGAAATTTCATTTCCATTTTAAAGCAATATATGACATATACGTTATAAAATAAATTGTTTGTTCAATGAAACCAGAATTAGTCTGTTTGATCAAAAGATTAATAAAATTTTAACTTTTTGGCCAGGTGAAGTGAATTACTTGGCCGTCGGTATTGTAAAAAACGAACAACATTGTGTTGAGCTTAGATTTTTAAAACATTTTTCTTTCTTTTCATTCAGTCATCATTTCTTTAGTAGTTTTCAAAGTTTTCAAAAAATTAACGTATGTACAATTTATAATAAATTACTCTGCAAATGTGAAAGGAATATCTTTACAAATAAAAGCTAAAAACTTGTAAATTTTTCGTATCTTATTCAAAATAGTCTTCTTCATAGCGCACACCTTTAATTGGGTTCAAACTAGAGTAGAGCACGGGCCGTGTTTTCGGTCGTGGCACCTCGATTATATAGAAATTATTTGTGCAAAGTTTGGTTAAGGTAGCTTTTGAAATGTGGACGGTATTGACGAAACTCTGTAGCGGGAGAAGGGGGGAAAATTCCAAAAAATAAAATAAACTCGTCCTTTCTCGGACATAGGAGAATCTGGATACCAGCTTTGGTTATTCCAGCTTTTATATTTGCAAAGAGATCCTTGCGTTCATCCAGACGGACAGACGGACGGACAGACGGACGGACGGGCAGACATGTCTAGATCGATTTCTCTCGTCATGCTGATTAAGAATATATATTCTTTATGGGGTCGGAGATGCTTCCTTCTGCATGTTACATACTTTGCACAAACCTAATATACGTTTTTTATCCTAGGGGTACAGGGTATAAAACAAAGGAGTCAAAACGACTTTCCTTAATTTTTGGACACTAATAATGCAAAAAAAAAATTGTCTCGGCAGGTCAAGATTAGATTTTGAAATCTATAACTATATACATACGTAGTACCATTGATTCAGGAATTTGTGTGTTAAAGTACTAGAAAAAAGCAAAAAAAAAAAAAAAACAAATTTGGAATTACTGAGGCAAATATCAAGAATAACAGCTTTTCAAACAAGTGAACAAGTTTTTTTGGGCCGTGTTTACAAATATTTTCGTCGTGCGTTTGCGCGTGTGTGTTTCCAAAAGTTCATTTCGTGGACGTGTCGTGTCGACCCGAAAATAGTCGGCCCATGCCCATCTCTAGTTCAAACGCTTTATGTCATTCAATTGAATAATTGACAGGTCCTGTCGACTGGCACGGCTGTGTCTGTCAGCCAACGGAAAACCAACAAATTAAAATTTGCAACTTATTTGCTTATCATTATATTGGAAACAACAATAGCCTTTCCTTGAGCTTCCATATGGAGTGTAAAGTGTTTACGATTCCTTACATATGCGGGTAATAATGGGATGAAATGGTAGACACGTTATGTGGAATTAAAACCAAATCTACTCTTATGATTAAATGCATTTCTTTTAGCTTTAAACGATGATTAAAAATTTAATGTGGTAAAGAGACATCTAAATACTACATTTTCAATATTTTGTGTATATACTGGTTTTAATATGGTTTAGATTTCTAATAAACACTCAACAGTTTGTGCAGAAAAAACTCAATGAAGGGACTATTGAATTCCCTGCATCGTAGAGCTGCATTGACCCCATATCTGAATTGACTGACTCTATTGCGTTGTTTTTATTGTGTATATGACCACTGCGATGGCATTTTGATAAATTTTCAATTTATATGATTGAAGATGCATGCAATATATGACTAAGCTCTACCCCTCACTGTTTATTGTTGAATTGGCAGTCCCAGGAAGTGGTCTGCCCTCAATGCGATTGTGTTCCCACTTGTTTTCCAACACAAGCGTCCTCCGCAGGAGTATGTGAATGTAAGTACGCGTATACTCGTAAGAGTATGTCTCCATGAAACGCACACAAATCGATTTTCAATTGCAATATGCCAACGATAGTTCGTTGTGTGGGCGTAAATGTGTTGGTGACAATTTTGCATAACGCTTCCATTTGAAACCGTCACGGAGCAAATAGGTGGCTACTGCTTTGTTTGCCAAAGTTTAACGGTTGTCGAAAGTAGTTTCAACTGATTTGCATTAAAAATGGGAGACGTGTGATTGTGGGTGGCGATTGTAAAACACACTCGCATGGATAATAAAAGCACTCCCATTGTGTGTAAGCGGGCATTCAACTGATTTCATTTTGGTGTTATTGTGCTAAATGTGGCTTCTTTCTTAAGCTCTGGCTTAAGTTGGCAAAATATTATTTTTTACAATGTTCCAATACATGTTTTTATACAAAGGGTATATTAGATTTGTGCAAAGTATGTAACAGGTAGAAGGAAGCATGTCCGACCCAATAAAGTATATTTATTCTTGATCAGCATGACGGGAGAAATCGATCTAGACATGTCCATCCCCCTGTCCGTCCGTCTGTCTGACTGGATGAACGCCTGGATTTTGGAAACGACTGGGCGCACGTTAACCAAACTTGGTATGCAGACGCTCCTTGTCCCTAATCTATACTTTTTTTATTTTCCTCCCCTTTCCCCGCTACAGAATGCTGTCCACATTTCAAAAGCTACATAAACCAAACTTTGCGCGAGCAATAAATACACTACAATAATCCACTTTTTTTATTTCATCCAATTTCATCCAAGTCGTTCAATTCTAAGAAAAGTTATTTGCGAAACAATTTCACTCCAGTACTATGCCCACAAGCTGCAGCATCAAATTCGCTCTTCTTCTTCATTTTGCTTCTGCTAGATACGCATATACATTAGTCAGTGCCGGAAGTTTTCCTGGGTACAGGGTATTTAACTGTCGGGCTTGCTCGGCCATAGAGTTCTTTCTTGTTTTCACTAATCTAAAAGGATAAGAGGCTAGAAAACTTGTAATCTAATTTTTCACTTTCCCTAATGTTGGTATTTGAATAAAAAACATAACTCACTTCAACTATAATATGCAGGTTGCGTCTGATTGTATGCATACATAAGTGCATTTAGATATTGAATAAATTTACAAAAACTAAGCTTATAAGTCTTATGGCTTGCAAACAAAATTTTATTAAAATAATACTTTATTTATACCCATTCCTTATCACATTATGTTGAACTACAAAAAAATCTTCAATTTGACCTTTCTTTTTATACATACGAGTATATACTAATTAATTACAGTAATGCTTACATCCATGTCGTAATTATGATGACATTTCCGCAATTAGTGCGCAGATTGTCGTTGCTCGCCACAAACAATCCACAATGTTCGGCATTACTTTAGTGTTCAGTTTGCTTTTACCGGGGACCGCTCCTAATGACCAGTTCCTGGCATAGCCGGCTACGCAACGAATTGTTAATATTCGGATGCGCCTACTCGATTCTGATTGGAACTTTGAGTTATATTGTGGACTACTCGGATCGGCGTATTGTGCATAAGAAATGGTTTCGCATTTGGGCCTACATAATGAATATTATTATAATGGGAAGTATACCAGTTCTTGCACATTTAGTGAGCAACAAAGTGACGTCTTTGGAAAGCAATTGGCTCATGCTGCACACCGATTACGTTTTGGGAGGCGTACGACTAGTCCTTGTAACATTAATCATATTATTGCGGAGGCAACGGGAGCGTGTCTTGCTGCAGTCTACAAAGATATTGTTTGCAATGGATGCTCGCTATGCTCAGCTGCTTCAGCCGGTTCCAGCGTTGGATAAGAAATTGAATTACATGTATATAATCAAGCATATAACCACAGTACTACAGTCCGTCATCACGTTCACAACGACGCTCTTTATCATCAGAGAGATTACCTGGGAGGGTCTGTTGGTAGCCGTGTACTTGGCCAACGTTCAAAATGTTATTCACAGCACGCTCTTTCAGTTTTTCACAAGTCTTATGCATCTGCAAAGTCGTTTTCTGTATCTGAACCGGCAATTGAAATTGCTGCAACGATCTTTGAGGTTCAGCAATGACAAAATTGGTCGCCATAGAAGAAGGCAACATATCTATGCCATGAAGCAGCTAAGAGACATGTCCCGAGCTCATTTTATGCTTACAATACTCGCTCAGCGGCTAACTGATTGTCTTAAATATACCGCACTTGGCGCCCTCTTGGGCTTTCTGCTGCAGCACGTAATATTCGGCTACTATGGATTAATGCTGCTAGGCAGAGCAGATATTTACCTTTTTATGAGTAGTATAACGGTTGCCGTGGGAGGTTTTTTCTATTTTTTACTACATGTGGATCTGTATATCTTCTTCTGGAATTGCGAGGCTACGACAGCTGCCCATCATCGTACAGGTCAACTATTACGTTTGTATCATCAATTACCTCAATTGTCGCCCGGATTGGCCCGCCAATTGGAGCTCTTTTCACTGCAATTGGCGCAGAGTCAGTTCCAAATCAATGCTGGTGGAATGTTTACGCTAAATAATGCTAGCGCATTAGCTCTATCCGCTTATATACTTCACACCATTCTAATACTTGTACAATATGATTTTGAAAATCGCATTAAGACGCTGCGAAATCAGTTGGATCTTAAATGGAAAGCCGAGATTGAGGACTTTATCATGGAATAGTAGTAGAATGCGATTATACGTGCTTGAAATATGATATCTTTTACAAGAAAGGTTGCTTTTGACTTTAATTCATGTAGATACTTGTATAAATGTTCTATAAAAGAAAGTAACAATAAAGGGCAAATTAAATTTTTATTAATTATACAAAAAAATTGGTCGAAAATGGTTTGTTTTAATTACACATACATAAGCTTAAAAAAAAGAAGAAAATAAATCGAAGAAAACTACAACAAAACAAGTAGAAAAGCTAAAGCCGGGTGTCCCAACTTTAAAATACTCTATATGTGCAGAATAATTATGCGTGTATGTGTGTGTTTGTGTATGTCTCGTGTGCCTGTGCAAAGCAGTAACAACAACAACAGCGGCGGGCACTGCTTGGACATGTATACATATATGGCTATAACTTCCTGTTAAATCGACCAGACTTATAATCACTAACTGGAAGTATTTTCCGAATTTTAATGAAAAATTCTAAGAAATACGGGAGTTATGGAAAATCATTTTCTGCGTATTCAAAAATCAAAAATCAAATCAAAAAAATAAAACAAACTTGTACAGCGTACACACATAAGGTATCTTTGTGCAACATTTTGTGTCTCTAGCTCTTATAGTCTCTGAGATCTAGGTGATCATACGGACGGACAGACGGACAGACATACAGGCAGGGCTAGATCGACTCGTCTTGTCATGCTGATCAAGAATAGATATACATTTTTCAGCTCGCGCAAACCTAATATATTCTTGTACATTTCATGTACAGAGTATAATTTAAACCATACCGACACCGAATTTGGATATTTATGAGTATAAGATTATGAAAGGGGTCAGTTATTAGATTTAACAACATCGCTCTGGCCAGGGTATGCTTGTCGGCCAGAATGTTCTATCATATATCATACATATACATATCCAACAAGCGGTTATGGGAATATATATTTATTTAAAAGTAGCTGTCACTGTCAAAATACAAACAACTTACCTCCGTCGCAGCCCAAACTTAACTAACTACTCCATTTTCTAAATCAACTTAACTATCCTAACAAATAAACGTGAAGACGCATCGATATTGCCATTTTCATCTGTCCATGCGTTTGCTGTTTGTGAAAATGAGCTCAATGATCTCAGAAAGTATAAAGATAGATTATTATTTATTTTTAATGACCATAAGAACATTGAAGTATGAAGTATATTCTTATACTTGTATGTACTTGTAATTATTAGGTAAGGGAAATTTACTTTAGGCAAACTATAGTCTATTGCCTCCCCCTCCCGCTCTGGCATTTCGTTACTACTGTTCGCAATTTCTAATCTATATAAGTTAAACTAATCAGAACAAAACAAGCAGGCTTTATATTATTGATCCAATTTTTTATTCATTCGGACAATATTGAAAGCTAGGCGATAACATCAAAATGTTTGTATTTATAAGGCATATGAAGAAGACACTACTATCGTAAAAATAAGGATTTTAAGGATTTATTCAATTAGTATTAAAACGGTAACGAAATGTTTGCATTTATGGAGCAAATCGAAAAGCCCCCGCTGCCAGCAGGGAGTAAAACATACACTTTTATAGAACCTGCAGACTTCATTGAGGACATAGAGAGTTATGTAGCCAAAGCGGAGCGCAAGCCCTTTTTTGAGGAGCCCTTGTGTGTCCTGACTGAAAAATATAGTAATTATGGCGAATTGGCTCTCAAACTGGAGCCCAGTTATGCGGAGCAGCAGATAAATATAGAAATGACTAAAGCTAATCTGAAGCTGATCAAGAAATTTCAGGAGGAAAAAATTGAATTCATGACAAGGGTACAGCTTTTTAATAAGGTATACAAAGATGTATTTGTGCCGCCAGTGGAATCAGTTACTATTGTAATTCCTGGCAATGTTCACATGCAGTTCCCCCTGGATGAAGCCGAAAAATATGTAATCAAGCAACTTGGTCAGATGGTTCAGCAGCTGAAGATCTACGAACATGACCTTAACTACCTACGCGATCAGATGAGTACCACAAATCTGAATATAACACGTGTCTACAAATACAATATCGCGCGTAGTAAAAGTTCGCAGAAGCCAGGAAATGTGAGCACTACTTCTGGACAGAATTAAAAGCATTTGCATGGGTTGCAACAATATTTACTCTTGTGCTTATATTAATGAAGCAGTTATAAACATTTTGATAGCCATTAAAAATTGTGTTTTAAATGTGGATTTAATCTGCATTTAAAACTTCGCCCTAGCTAGAAATATATCTACTTTTACTACAACACATATGGCTTGGATCGGTTCCACGATTTTAGCCTGATTGTGGTCGGGTTTATTGTACCCATGATCCACTTAACCAGCAATATAGAGAATAAGCGCCTTATATATATCAGTAAAGTGTTAAGTATACCTTTCTTCTTCCTGCACTTCCGTCCAATTTTTTTTTTTAATACATTTCATTAGATTCAAAAGAGAGACCGCTATAGTCGAGCAAGCCCGACAGTAAAATAGCCTGTACTCTCCACAAAAAAAAAAAATTGTTTAAATAATTATTTAAAAAAATTGAATTAATTCATTAAATTAAATTAAAAGACATGCTTATGTTCAGTTTTAACAGCATACATTTACATCGCGTGCCTATGCGTGTTTATATGAGTGTATGTATGCAGCACAAAGTTGAATCAAAGCAGCAACAACAACAACAGCTTCGGGCAGCGATGCCGGCAGAGCTGCAGGCAGCGCATGAGCAGCGACTTTATTTACGGCTATAACTTTCTTCAGAATTGGCCTATCATGATGACACACGGACACATTAGCACTAACTGGATGTAACTACCAAATTGGATTTCAAAATTCCAAGAATTACGGAATTTATAAAAAAAAATACAGGAAACAGGGAGTGGGGGTGTATCAGAATAAAAAAATAAACTCGACCTGCCTAGGACTTAGAGGAACCTCGATACCAAGTTCGGTTATTCTAGCTCTTGTACTTCCTGAGATCCTTGCGCTCATACAGACAGACGGGCAGACGGACGGACGGACATGGGACATGGCTCTATCGACTGAGGGGTCTGCCACGCCTCCTTCTGTGTGTTACATACATTCGCACAAAACTAGTATAGCCTTTTACCCTTTGGGTACAGGCTATAAAAAAGTATCGCCATAGATTTTATTAGCACTTTAATTAATTAGTTTATCGTCCGGAAGGGTCGTGGTATACATTTGCTTTTCAACGCCTGTCGTCAGTCGTAAGCATAGTTCATGACTGAAAACATTGTCTATCGCTACCTCAGCTATTACTTTGCCTTAAATGGCATTGTTAGCTACTGTTACAGCTCCAAAGGCCGGATTCGAAGACCTGTATGGTTGCGTCTTTATGTAGACATTCATAATGTTTATATAGCTTGTAGCGTTCCGCTGGTGATGCTCCTCGGCTATCAGCAAACCGCACTACAGGATAAAAATCCAGTCACCACCTACACCTATATAGCCAATGTGACGCTCAATGCGATAATTTTCATGTACAGTATTGGCAGTCGTTGGCAACGCGAGCGGCAATTAACTAATATATTGAATGGTATGCTGCGTATGGAGAGCAAGTATTTCAACAGGCTGCCGCACCCTCTGAGCACTGGGAGGGACCTAAGGCGGCTAATGATACTGAAGGGGACTCTCCTGGTACTGCAATGGTTTGGATTCGTCGGTGCATACTTACAATACTGGCTCCACGGCAGTTGGCGTGATGTTTTCATATCGATCAGCAACTTAATGGCCCAAAGCATGCTGTCGGCGCTCATGTTTCATTATTTCTGCATCCTTTGGCACATGCATGTGCGCTGCCACCGCCTACGGATGCACTTACGGGCCGTGCTGCTGCGGCGAATGTGGCGCTGGAGTGAAAGAATCATCTGCCAACAGCTGCAACGTTTGCAACTCGCATATGGGGAACTGAGCCACTTGGTGCAGGAGCTTAGTCTCGCGTACGAGTGGAACCTGTTCTGGCTGTTGGCGCGCTCCGTTTGGAATAACATATTCATGGGCCACGTTACCTTTATTGTGCTGATTAGCGGCAACAGTCAACAACTGGTGTCGCTGCATCACATGGTGCTCGGTCTACTCGCATATGGGACTATTGTGGTCGACATGTATTGCTATGATTGCCTGGCCGACTGGATGGGCACTATGCCCGCGGACATTTTGACAGTGTTGCGTGGCTGTGGAAGATGGTGTGTCCAGGTGGAGCGCAGCGTAAGTGGACACTACGCCATTGAGAAAGACATTGATTGACGGCTTTTCTTCCTCCATTATTTGCAGTGTGAGTGGTTTGCGCTGCAATTGTCCTGACAGGACATGCGTGTGCGCATCTTTCATGTCTTCTGCATCAATCGACGACTTACTTTTGGCGTCATGTCGTTCATTATCATCTATACGATATGCTTGGTACAGGGCGACTATGACAATATATGGCAATAATTTTGTTTCTATACACAGCTACTAAATCAGTTGGCTTTGATTCTTTAATTAATTTGATTTTATTCTGTTAATTTAATAGAAATTAAGGTACATCGAAATAATACAGTATCAAATACTTATTATTTAATTAATTTTATGTTACTAAAAATATACATTTTAAAGGGTTGCAGCAATCATGCCTCGTTTTACGAAAGGATAATGTTTAAAACCACGTATTTTTTAACAGTGCATGCATTGACGGCAGCCCCGCATAAATTCTCTTGTCCAACTCGTTTAATTCTGTCGATTCAGACGCGGCAACATTTTTAATCAGTTTTATTCTGAAGCATTCATGCACACATCTTTTGTTCTCATTATCATGCACCATCATCATCAGCATTATCGTAGATGGTTTAAATTAAAATAAAAAGTTCATTTGGCCATCGCCAACGTTGACATAAACGTTGAGTGGCATCAGTGGAGACGACTACGACTCGTTGATTGATAAATGCATATTACTTTCCAATCTATACATGAAGTGGTTATATATATACTTGTATGTTTATGTACTTCCACTGCAATGTGAACGCAAACGAATTGCTGGATGTCGTAAAAGCTAGTTATTTGTCGAAGAGCTTAAACGAAAATTTGATTAATTATATATCGTTACAAGAATAACAAAAACAAGCATCGCTATTCATTCGAAAATGTTCTACTTTTAACCTTTAGTACGGCAAAGTTACATAAATATGCATTTGTCAGTTACTCGTACTCTTAGCTCAATTTGTTAATTTATTTACTTCCATACGTCACTCCAATTTCGATTCACTTCGACTTATTGTTATACGTCACTCATTAAATATACAATAGCGCATAATTAATGATAGTCGACAATGCAGCCAAAGTCGTATAATAGATTGTACGTCGCCTGACCCGACAAACTTTCGGTTTAACTTTTCCGGAAGTGTTGACGAATGTCACTTCGCTTCATTTTACAGGGCCTCCACCCCCGAGCACTGACAGTGCCACTGTTGTCATTTCTTGTTTGTGTTCAACTTACATAAATGAATTGAAAAACTTTGCCTTTCATGTTGAGAGACTCCTTGCTACGTGCAGCCCAAGCATTGGCTTCCGATTCCTTTTGTCTGCTTCAGAAAAGGCCGGGCTCATCATTGGATTCGCACAATTGTTCTCAGCGTGTTGACATTTCATTGTGCGCTTACACACGTCCAATTATGGAAAAACTTTCGTCTCGCTTAATGAAAGAAAATTTAAAACAGCGTTAAGGCGCTATTGTTTAATTTATAAGTGACGACCTCTCAACTGGAACACGATATGGCGGTCTCTTGTCTAATTACAACTAAAACAGATTCAATGTAATGGAATGTTTAGATCATTCCAAAAAATGGTTCGAGTTATGTTTATTAAACGTTTAAAACATTTATTTCTACTATTTTATCTAACATAATCACAAAGAAATACTATATATCTAATTAATAAAATGTTTGCTTTTTTCGGTACTCAACTTCCACCAATAATTTATAATATATTGACCATTAAATATTTTTATGTTTTTAATAAAAACAAAAAGAGAATCATAAACATCACACTCGCCTAATTGCGACCCAACTAATCAACAGTCCTTTATAGTTGATCTTCTGACTCCGACAGTTGCCTCTGGCGTTGACGGTGGAGAAGAACAATCATCGTATCTCATCTGGTCGATGGTCCGAGCGTGCTACTGCAATCGGGAGTTGATTCGAAGCACCGTCCATTGCCCCCTAACCTCGAGGAGGAGCTGGCAATGCTGCACTTTTTGCCTGCTGCCTTCAACATTGCAGTCCGTTTGAGGGGATCTGCCTCCACACTGGTCAAGTTATTTATATACAAAGAGGAGCGATAAGTGGAGCGTCGGAATGAGCTAACCACGCTGGTATCGAACATCCCCGAGCCATTTGAATAGTGACGCATTCCACTCGGTTGACTTGAGATAAACAAACAGCAGAGATAGCGATTAAAGTGGGCACGAAAAACTCCAGAAACGCAATACAGAGTGACCGGATTTATGCAGGAATGCAAAAAGATGGCGCAAAAACCAACGATGCGTACAATGTTCCAGAAATCGTCAAAATCTTCCTTGGCCGTGGGGTGCAGGTGGAACCACAATTCATAAAAGTGATAAGGAAAGAAGCACGCAAAGAAAACTGCAATGGAAAGCACATTAAATAAAGTATTATCAATCGGAACCACTAAAATTAAAAATAATCACGAAAATAGACAGAAATATATTTCAAAAGCTGAAGATTTTGTCTCTTCTCAAGGAGAGGACTTCAACTTTTAACTGTCCCCAACGGTTTGGTAGCAATTTGGTTATATTTCTGAAAATTATTTAGTTTAAAAACAAATCTTATGAAATATTTTTGCCATTAATCTACTTGACAATAGTACCAACACAAAATTAACGATAACAAGAGAGAACGCTACAGTCGAGCAAGCCCGACAGTGTAATACCCTGTACCCAGGTAAACTTCCGTCACTGATATGTGCCCATAGCAGCAGCAAAAAGAGGAAGAAGAAGAGCGAACTTGTTTCTGCAGTTTGGGGGGGTTGTACTGGCGAGAATTTGTTTCGCTAATAACTTTTCTTAGAATTGACCGATGAACAACAGTAGACAATTATATATAAATTATGTGTGCAAAGTTTGGTTAATGTAGCATTTGAAATGTGGACGCTATTGACGAAATTCTGCAGCGGGGGAAGGGGGGGAAAATTAAAAAAAAAAAATAAACTCGTCCTTACTCGGACCTAGGAGAATCTGGATGCCAACTTTGGTTATTCTAGCTTTTATAGTTTCTGAGATCCTCGCGTTCATCCAGACGGACGGACAGACGGACGGACAGACGGACAGACGGACGGACAGACGGACGGACATGTCTAGATCGATTTCTCTCGTCATGCTGATCAAGAATATATATACTTTATGGGGTCGGAGATGCTTCCTTCTGTATGTTACATACTTTGCACAAACCTAATATACCCTTTTTACCCTACGGGTACAGGGTATAAAAATTGAAGTCACTAAGGGGACAATTTAGTGGCAGATTTTAAATAAAGATTTTAAAAGATACACATACTTTTGACAAGCAACCACCCATGTAACATTTTGTAAATAGGAAGATTTCAGAAGTTGCGGATTTCAAATCGGTCAGGTTTCAAACAAAATTCGAATATAGCTAATATTATATATCAGGATGAAATATTTACCTATGACAAAAGCTACCACCAGGCGTGCAACATGACGACGAGCTCGTGCCTGAGCGTGACTCTGAACACTCAACTTGACGCCCGGCATTTCTCGAGCACTAATTTGTAGTCATCTGGCCATTAGGAAATACAACACCGAAATGATGGAGAGTGGCACCAGATAGTAGATTAATGACTTGGCCACGACCGTGTATCTATAAAATTTTCAAAATATAAATGTGTTTGCATCAATAGAAATATTTAGCAAGTTCTTCACTTACTTGGAATAAAGCTCCACATTCGTGCGATTTTTACCAAATGGCGTGCACACCTGAATCGTTAGGTTCTGCGCATCGTTTAGGACATATTCCTGCAAGTCGGAAACCACAAAGGATGGCATGGCCAACAAAATGGCAACCAACCATATCATCAGAGCCGTAAAAACCGTCAAAGGCTTGGTCTGCAAATCGACAGCATGGGCCTGTTTTGAAGTCTGGCTAACCGCACTAAGGTCTATTCGACCAGTCACTCACCTGTAGTTTGCGCAATGGATTGACAATGGCACAATACCGATCGGCTGATAATGCCGTCAATGTGAATACCGATACGCCTATTGATATATCCTTAAAGCATTCACTGATACGGCAAACAGCACGTCCATAGGGCCAACTGTCCTGCGTGTAGACAACTGAGGCTACCGGCACACAAACCAGTATGACAAGCAAATCGGCCATCGCAAGAGATAGAATGTAGCTAAAGATATAAAACAAGCTATTAGCTAAATAAAACAAAAAGTTAAAATTTTTAATCAATAAGTATATTAATTACCACCCTAGCGGGTATAAGGGCTAATTAACTGATCTCGAAAGGAATATATATACTTGCAGAAGGAATAAAAGCACTCCTGAATAGGAAAAGTTCATCTTACAAGTATAATGTCAATAATGTAACCCCTTAAAACTTTGACTTTGATTTCACTTTTCTAAACGAAAGCCTTAATCATATCCATTACAATTTTTCAAATTTAAATAAATGTTATTCAAACTATATTTTGTTGCTACACTAACTTTATACTTAGAACGAGTCTTATTAGTTTAACTTAATATTTCCTTACAAGATTGCGAAAATATATTCTTGAATTAGAAGGCAGAATTAGGCAAAATAATAAATAGTTAGGTTTGAGAAACATTATGTTTGATTGCTGATTAGTCTCGGCTAAAAATATATTGTCCGGCATTATTAACTTGTTTGACTTTTTGAAATATTAACTCTTGGAAATTTTAACTCAAATTTGGGATTGTGCCCTCAGCTTAAGGGCGAATAGGTCGAATGTAAAGAAAGTTATAGCTATAAGTGTAATCCCTGCCCATGCTCTGCCCGCAGCTGTTGTTGCTGCTTTCTTCTCTGGACTTAATCTACTCACGTGTTCGGTATGTTACGCATGGAACGATGTCGGCAAAAGATAACAACCAATGTACCGTTGCCCAACACCCCAACCACAAATATGAGTGCAAAGAGTGCACTCACAATGAAGGTTTCTGGGCGCTGGGCTACGGGCGTATAGTCGACGTCGAGATTGAAAATGCTGGCATTACTGCTGTGATTGCCACCCATTAGTAAATCGTCGTCGGCAATTGATGCTAACGCCCCTATAGTTGCTGCTATCCTTTCTGTTGTTGTTATTGCAGTTGTTGTAGCCATGCCTGCGATTGAAAGCAAGTGCTTTTATGGGGAATGTCAATGCGAATGGGTCTTAGCTCGTTTCGATTTTTCAGCTTAATTTTGTCAATAGTTGTAGCTGTAGGTCTTGTTGCTGGATGTGGTTGCTGGGACTGTCGCTTCAAGTGTAACTAACAGTTGTTAGTGCTGTTGTGGCTTCAACTGCGGCGTCGGCCGCTGCTATGTAATGCTTTTGGCGTTTGACGTGGCCGGTGGTTTACTTTTCTCAGTAACCGACTGTTGTGGCGGTTGCCATAAAGTTGAGGATTTCAACCTTCGCGGTTGTGCCTGCAAGCAGAGAAGAGAAAATTAAATATTATTATGATTGGGTTACAATAGACAACTACAATATGATGTTCAAACATTTAATATGTTGAACACGACATTGTCAGTCAATTGTATATACGTGTTCATCCTTTAAAAGTAGAAGAAATTTTAGCTTTAAATAGAAGTTTAAAAAGCGAGAAAATATTTTTGGTATCTTTAAATGAAACGGTTGTTTATAGTGTTAAGTACATTTTTTGTCTCTTTTTTTGTTTGTTATTTTTACTGATAATATTCACTATTGATAATAGTTATTAATTGGACTATATATATATACTTATACTATTTAAATTTCAGATTGATTCATAATTTGTTAAAAAAATCTTTGGTATTTAAAAATAAGAAGAAATGGATCAAATTCAATGTGTTTAATTTTTCTACTGTAAATATTGATGCATATTTGTCGCTTGGAATCGGAATGCAGACTAATTTAAATTATTCAAAAATCTTACTTGGTAGCTTACGAATATAAATACGTCCAATGTACACTAATAAAAAAGCACGGAGATTTCAATATTTTCATGTAGATTTAACTAGATTTAACTAATTTTACCATTGATTTTGCACCATCGTGTGTTTTGGTAGATTTAAAGTGTGTATATACTTCAATTTCAAGTTGAATATTAAAACATTTAATTTAAAGTGTGACGATAACAAATGATGACGTGGACGTGGATTTGATTCACGCCAAAGGTTTAGTTGTTACAAGTATAAAATATTTCTCAAATTTTTTGTCTACTCTACTGTATTTAACTCTTTTCAACTACGATCAATATTAATATTAAAGTGAAGAAAAGCTGATTGAATACACTAACTTAACACATACCTAACGACCACACATACGTATATGTCAAGGGGTTTCACTTTGTATTTATACCACACAACCACTGGAAACCGACTTGAGAATTCTAGTCAATTAAAGTTTATAGTAATAAATTTCTAGTATATTTAAATCGACCACAAAAAACTTCAAATTAAAGTTGAGAAAAATATTAAAATTTAGTATGGAATATAGTAAATTTAACTATTTGTTATTTGGAGTGTGTAGAATATAGTAAATTTAACTACACTCTTTAATAACAAAGTATTACATTTTTTTTTAATATTATTCATATTATATTCACTAATTGAACATGTTTTTAGTAAAATTTTCGAAGTTTTTGATTTGAATATGAAATAGTAGTAAAATATAAGTATATGCTCACTTAGTGCAACATTTAGTCTTATATGCTTCCGAGTTATGTGCATTAATATTTTATGCTACACTACACATACTTTCAATAAGTTCAGTATTTTAAAGTCCCTATATTACACATATGTAGTACATGTTTTTTTTTTTCGTTTAATATAAGCATTAAATCCGTGCATACAGGTTTAGCACATTAGCAAATATAAATAGCCTAACCTCGAGCACTTCCGCGTGGTGGCTTATGCTTATCTACATTTTTTGAAAAAACCTAATCGCTGTATCTACTTGTATGCCGTACATTTACATGTTAATTTTGAGATTAATTCATAATTGGTTCAAGAAAGCTCAAGTAAGAACAATGCCTTTTACAATAAAGTACAGATCTCTTTATAGTGTGTCTCTAAAAGGTAAAATTATATAATCGTTTAGTGTGAAATTTGATATGTAACACACAGGTATTCTAGATCGGTAGACGATTCGAAAATAATATGAGCTTTATATCCCCTAAGCCATAGGCATGCCAAGTTTGTGCTTTGTTTTTCTGTTGCAGCTGGCACTGCTCATTCTAGTTTTTCTCTTTTTTCACTTTAATTTATTCTGGATTACTGCTTAAGAGACGCACGGTCTATAAGCATTCATACATATATAGATTATTACATTACGCTATGACCCACTGCGCCAATTTTATTGCTCATCCCAAACTCACAATGTCAAAGAAAATTACACTCTGTGTTTTTGGTCTGGACCCAAATTTACGGCTTAGCTCTGATGCCTATACATATTTATAGCATCGTAAAATTTGCAATGGTTTTCTATATATGTATATATTTTCACAAGTTACTTATTCGTGTGATTGACTTACACACTGTCCTTAAAACCCTGTTCACTTTTTTGTACCAGCTAGGACGACTTGGGATCACAGAGCACTGGGAGCCGAAGGAGCCACCGTGCCACCGTTTCAAGTTTAAACTATGTGATTGTACATACTCGTGCATTATTAGCAAATGAAATAAATAATATTCATTATTCAAACACGCAGTACAATATTGCTCTGTAATGTGAACAAATTATACAGCATACAACAGGTGCCTGTTTTAACTCACTAAATAAATTCGAATACATATTTAAAGCAAACATGAACATATTTATTCCATTACAAGTTCATCTATCATGGTTTTGTAATGTTATACTTATATGTTCAATAGTGGAATTCTAGCAAAAACCATAGTCAACAAAGGAATTTCACTTCGAAGTGTTACACTGCCAAAAAAAATATTAATACTATCCCCAATCTTATTTTGACACTATTACGCTATTGTGCCATCTTCTGTTCTGGTACTGAACCCGCCTGCTCCGTTAGTGCCATGTGCGGGCTAATTGCTGTTTACTTCGGCATATCCACTGTGGTTTTCGTTCAGGTTGCGGCTAGCCAATATTTTTAATGAATAAATGTTGCCCTTTGGTTCATTAAGTTATTTTTGTCAACGTGGGCGTCCAACAGCTCAGGCAATATGCAAATGCTCCTTTGCACCCGTCCGAGCTGCCGTAACGAATAAATTCAGAAAACAAAGTATTCAACTTACGACGACTACGTAGCGCCAAATGACGCCCACACATGCCTCGTGTGCTGGTGATGTTGATGTCGCATCAATTGATGGTGTGGCATGCTACCATTTGGCTGTGATTTAAGTTTAATTTACTCGAACCTGGAGGAAGTATAGGTGGTTGCGGCTATTGGCACTGCGTGGTTCCAGTGCTAAATTTCGTTGGAAGCCATTTAAAGGCGAAAGACTTAAGAGAAAGCCAATCCAAACAAATTGTGTCACCCGCCAAAAGTTAAGACTGCCACGGGCACGTTCTTTGTGTTTAAGTTCCATAAAAAGCACCACAACCTTTTTAGGGGGTTTCGCTGCTTTACTTAGCTGCTTAAAGAAGCGTGTACACGATTTTCAGAGATATCATTTTTTCATGTTGTTCCGAGTAATTTGAGACATTATTTAATTTCATAGGCTTTCAGTCACGCCTGAAAGCTATGCGTTTGTTTAGGCCAAAGAAAACTTTCTATAGTCAATTTCTCCCCTATGTTTGTGTGGCTGTGCTTACGAGTATGTTCTTAATAACATTAACGGGACGACGCGACGTTGGCAGATGTTCTACTTCCCATCTGAGAAGTAACATTGTAGCTATGCTCATTAGATTGTACAATTAGGCAAAGCATTGAATTCAGAGCGACGTAAATTCATTTGAAAATTAATCCCCAAAATCAAATTTCCCTTGACTTGCTATTTGCCACTTGCCCTGTTAAGTGCCTATTCCAATTTGGCGCTGGTTGCAACAAATATCGCTTACATTTAGGCTTAGGCCTAATTGTGCAACGGTACCTAAAGACATGTGAAGAGAGTAAAAACAATTTGCAAGTCATTTTCTAAATTTTCCCAACTATGTGATATGTTTTTTATTACTTATTTTATAATAACCAAACCCAAATGGGTTTTAAAAAATTTAAAAATGATTTTTATGTTAACTTTCGACCTTGCCGCAACTTCTTAAAAATGCGCACATTTCTTAAAATAATATAAATAATTCAGAAAGAGATTTTACAATTATTAAATTAAATATAAAACAGCAACCAGCCCAATAATATTATAATTTATCTTACTAGTGTTTTAGAATATTATAATACAATATTACTTCAAATCAAATTAACATTCTTAAATGTGTGTGTACCTATTCATATAAAGAACAAATTTAAAAATTTGTAAAAATTAATGCAGCACAGAGTTCGGCCGAATAAGCAACAAGAACAGCTGCAGGGGTTACATTTATGGCTATAGCTTCCTTTAAAATCGGCCTATCCTGATAAAACTCGACAAACGGACATATAAGCACTAACCGGAAGTAATTGACAAATTAAATTTTATTAATTTATACAAACGGAGGTCTGAATAATCACATAAGTATAAGAATTCTGTATGCAAAGTGTTTAGTGCCTAGCTTGTTCTTATAAGTGTTCATACGGACAGACAGGCAAATATTTATTATAAGTATGCAAATAATTGTATTGTAATATTGCAATAAATAGGTTGAAATATTAAACAGAAGCGCCGGGCAGATATATGCCCACAGTGTATTCTTAAAAAAATGAAGTGGAAATAAATTTCCGGTCCAAGGTTGACCTTTTGTGCTCACCCAGGTGCTAACATCGACCATCTACTTTATTGTGCAAATGTTTTTACTGAGTGATTGTGTTGATTGCGCCATGGCATCCGGTTCGACAACGGCTTATAGCTCAGTGCCCTACCATGAATTGCAGAGCGCAATTGTTTGGTTGCTGATTCCTTTTTCCCAGCTCGCCATTCTCTTTTTATGTTATGCTACGTAATTGAAAATGTTTTGTTTCGTTTTGCAATGTAATTTACTTTCTATTTTTATGGTGAAAATAAAATAAACCATGAATTGTGTATAGATG